GGCTTTTAAAGAAAACACTTTGACGGTATAAAACGCCATATATATTATTGAAACTTATTTGAAAAATATTTTAACCACGGCCCAACGTTTCGGCTGCTTTGCAGCAACCGTGAACACGGGCAGACTAAATATGAAGCCTGTCTGACGTTAGAGACACCCCCGTGACTAGCCCGTTCTTTAAATAATTTTTAAATAAGTTTGACTAATTATATCGCGTTATATTGTAAACGGTTAAATTGTTTTATTTAAATGTGCACTACTCGCATAAACTACGAAAACTTTCTTTTGCTATTTTTTCGTGAATAAAATAAGATTTTCCTCTCGAGAAAAATTGTTAATACAAAAACTTGGGCGCTATGCGTCATTAGCTACATCGATCCGGGAACCGGCTCCCGGTCTATAAAATTACCCGGATCGCAAATTGGGCGTGAGGAACATACGTAACTATGTCTTTGTATAACCAGAAACAAACAGGGAATTGGATTAGAAACTTCGTGTGGAGGGGGGACGTGAACAATATTGGAAATTATGCTTCGTTTCATCTTCCAAAAGTTTGCTGTCGAAGCCAAACAGTTAAATTAAATCTTTAAACAGATTTATTTGTGATCTCTATATCCAAAGCTGATCCGTATATCCAAAGCTAAAATAGTTTTAAACACATTAACGGTTTAAAACGAGATGTATATTATTATATTAAAATATTTTTTAAATTGGTTTAACTACGAAGACAGTCTTCCCGTAACCACTGCTGCAAAGCATCCCAAACGTCGGGCCGTAGTTAAGATAATTTTCAAACAACAAAAAATATGAAAGTCATGGGTAACAGCTAATTTATATCTGATTAATCTGATAAGATCTGGAGGTGGTTTGCAAAAACAAATTTTGGCGCCCAAAATACCTATTCCACGCAGACGAAGTAGCGAGCTTAGCTAGTATATAATGCGACCTACATTAAAAGACAGCATAATTCGAATAATTCCATCCAATACTCTGCCTAGCAAGCTAGGAGCGTTAAACAAATTGTGTTGAGAAATACAGTTCTCTAATTTCAACCTTATTCCATTGACATAAGGTTTGAGACGAACGCATTCATAGAATCCGCTTACATTGAAATAGTTTGGCGGGAAATAGAGAGAGATTTACTTTTTAGAGTTCCGTAGAGAAAGGACCGACTTTGTAACTATTTTTTTTTATTAACACGGTACAGTAACCAATTACACTGATTTACCTGTACTATATAATATAACGCTGAAGAGCTTGTTTGTTTGAACGCGCTAATCTCAGGAAGTACTAGTTCGAATTGAAATAGTACATTATCATATAAGTGCGGTAAGTTGAAAATTATAGCCGAGGCGAGATTACTATAAGTTATATGTCATACGACGCTTTATAACATATTTACGAGAAAATCACGACATTTTCAAATAAAAACAATACAGCGAAAAGAAAAAGCGCGCGGAATTATTTTTACTTGTCCACAAATAAGCGATGCGCGCGCATCAACAGTACTTTTTTTTAGGCAAAGGTAGTCGCAACGTTAAACAGCCAGTCATTACTAATAAAGTAAATTTTAAATATATTACAAAAGTACCAGTAGGGTGGTGTTTTTGTTATAAAAGTTTATCTATATGGTACACTGTAATTTATTGTCAAAATTAATTAAATAAGAAGAATTCAATGTTTATATGTTATATTTTATTTCAACCAAACCGTTGAATTTTATTCATAAAATATTGACCACTTTAATGACATAGAAAACTCTTTGCTAAGAAAAAGAACACGTGCATTTTACATTACATTATCGCAAATGAATTGAGAACGTAATGAGATCCCCCTCCCCCCCCTTTCTTTTCCCGGGGGGGGGGGGGGGGGGACATTACGATATTAGAAAAAAAATTGCAGTTTTACATCTACAACCACTAGGGGCGTAATTACAACCACTTTACGGGCAAATATAAGATCGTGTTTTTTTCCTTTTGTTGATAAAATTATTTTTGTTTAGTTAGTAGCATTTATTGCGTTCCTGAAGCTCTGTATTCTAAGTTGAATCAGCCGGAAACATGGCCCATCAATGCGGAGTTTTGCGAATGGGTTTTGTTTTTCCAACCCCCAAAAACAAACGTACTTAAAAATATAGTGTAAATAGAATAACCTTTAAATATTAAATAACATGTATTGCAGTCCGACATATATGCCATCACTGAAACGGATTGCAATGAGTCCATCCATGATTCGGAAATCGTACCACCCGGATATCATATTCTGAGATGCGACAGGGAAAATGGACGTAAGCAAGGCGGCGTAATGCTTGTGGCGGCACCGCGCTTTGAACTGCGCCCAGTTCGGAAATCTGAAATCTTTGGTTTCCCCTATAGACAAATGTAATTTTGAAGTGGCTTGTGCCACTATGTATTTAAATAATTTTTTTTTGTTTTTTTGTACTGTAATTTACATTCCACCGAATAGCGGTGAGAATGAATATATGCTCTATGAAATATGTATATATAATAAGTCTATCGCAATGGATTTTTTCTGTAATGGTAGAATATGTTTATAATGAAATAAATAAATAAATAAATAAACAATTTTTTTTTAGGCAAAGGTACAAAAACAGCCAGTATTACTAATAAAGTAAATTAATATTTTGGTGTTTTTGTTATAGTTTATCTATCTGGTTGTAATTTATTGTCAAAATTAATTAAATAAAAGAATTCAATGTTTATATGTTATATTTTATTTCCCAAAGTTAATTTTATTCATAAAATATTGACCACTTTAATGACATAAAAACTCTTTGCTAAGAAAAAGAACACGTGCATTTTACATTACATTATCGCACAATTACGTAATGAGATACATTACGATATTGAAATTGGTGTTAATACCACCACCTTTTGGGGAAAAATTTTTAAAAAAAATTTTTTTGTTAGTTAGAGCATTTATTGGTACTTAAAAATAAGTGTAATAGAATAACCTTTAAATATTTAAATAACACACTTTAACGGTTTAAAACGCGATATATTAGGATAATATATATGCTTTGCAGAAGCCGTGGTCACAGGGAGTCTCTCCCATCCGAAACGTCGGGCTGAAGTTAAAAATCATTTTCAAATAAGTTTAACTAATATATCGCGTTTTAAACCGTTAAAGTGTTTTATTTTAATGTGTACTATTCGCGTAAACTATAAACAGCATCCAACCTTTAAATAATCTACAAAAAATGTCCACGACCTTATATGTGTATCTTTTATGTTTAACTTGTAAGAACGACGGGACGCGAAGGACGTCGTGGGTTAAATTTATAAAGATGAAGAGAAGGTTTGCAGAAATAAACAACTATTCTACGCGGACAAGTCTAGTCAAAATAACAACAAAATTTTCTATCAGAATATCAAAAAGCCAATATAAGTCGACAGCGCATTTGGTTTAGATTTTACATGGCTGGGATATTTCCCCCTCTATCACGTTAAGCCCACGCTTATCTGTCTCTCTAAGCTACAAAATATATATTGCGATTTAAACCGTTAAGAGTGTTTTAACTGAAAGGATACAATATGATATTTGTATTGATAATGCGGAACCTTTAATGTGAAAATCCGACTCGGACTTGGCCGGTTTATTTAAAGCTAAGCCGCACTAAGACTTCGATGCAGTTAGATAGAAGAGATTTGTTCCTTTCAAATAAAACTGTAGCTCTAAGTCTCGAGCCCTACCTGTGTATTTTTCAATTACGTAGAATATTCAGTTAAGCTTAAATAAAACAGTTTTAACGGTATATAACGCGAAACGTATTAGTTAAACTTATTTCCGATGTTTTGTAGCAGCCGTGGTTACGGGGGTAGTGAGGGCGGAGGATGTCCTAAATGTCAAAGTCAAAATTGCTACGCCAGCGCCATCTGTTATGTCGTAGTTGATGTTTGGAGAAACTAAGTAGATACTTATAGAACTGACTAATTAACTTGTCGTTAAAATAAATCAAATGTAGGTATAACTCATATATATTCCGTTAAACCGTAAGAAGTGATTTAATTTAACTAAATCTTTTTTTAATTTAATAAAACTACAGCCCGACGTTTCGGGTGCTTTACAGCGACCGTGGTCACGGGACAAAAAATCAACTAAAAATTCATGTTCTTTAACCGTTAAAAGTGATTTAATCAAAATGGACTACTAGCGTAAAGAACACTTACCTTAATTTTAGTTTAATTTAACTACGACCCGACGGTTCTGTTTATAAAAGCCGTGGTCGCGGCTCAAAAAAAAACTATAATTCCCATTTTAAACAGTTAAAAGTGGTTTTATTTAGATTACTTTAACTTTACCCTAATTAAAAACGCGGCGTTCTTTGGCCTACACCACAACAGCCTACGTGCGGTCGCCATGGCAACCATCGTCGGTGGCTTCTGGCTCCGAGGAATTGAAGCCGGTAATGAGGCGTCACCAGGTCTATTGTCATCTGTATTTGTGCTTAAAAGCTCGCCGTAGACACGGTACAGCGTGTCTACGGTGAGCTTTAAATTGTAATATAACTTCAAAATCTAATACTTTTCACATGATGGCACTATATGTATTAAAAATCGATTATAATTTAAGATAATAATACCATACGGCTTTTAACCGTTAAAGTGTTTTATTTAAACTATTGATGTGTTGAGTTTTGAGTGCTATAAATGAAATAAATCTATGTTAACGGTATAAAACTAATTATATTAGGATAGGGGCACACCAATTTTCCAATTCTGAGATTAGCGCAAACAAACAAACTCTTCAGCTTTATACATTAGTACAGATTAATACAGATCTTAAAGGATTTAATTTCAACTAATAAAGAAATGATCATAATTAGTTAATGATTTTTTTAATGACGTCGGTTTAATTAATGATAACAACAAAATAATTAATGAAAAGTTAATGACAGTTCAATATAAGCAAGGATTTAAGCGTGAAGATGTACAGTCTGATACAAGTCATTGAAGAGTTAAAAGTAAGAAGTTGCCAAAATGAATTGTCCACATGACGACACGGATAACTGTCGATACGACTTTGTAAGTGTTAATATTATTTAGTTAATAAACTTTAAACGGTTTAAAACACGAAATGTATTAGTAACTTATGCTTTATTTTAGCACGAGTCCGAAGTTTTGGTTGCTAGCGGCAAAGATCACGGGAAGTCTGAAGATAGACTTTTAATATATTTCTCGTTTTAAACCGTTCAAATTTGTGTTATTTAAATCGTATACTACTCGCTAAACAGGCAAGACTGTTTTCTTCAGTTTTTTATTTCGTCTCTAATTTACGCGAGTAGCACATTTAAATATAACACTTTTAACGGTTTAAAACGCGAAGTGTACTAGTTAAACTCCTGATCAAGGGACTGACCCCAGCTGCTTCAAAGCATCCGAAAAGTCGGGTCGTAATTAAACGGACTGTAAATAAGTTTAACTAATACATTTCGTGTTTTAAACCGTTAAAAATATTCTTTTAAAATTGTTTACAGTGTGCCTGGCTGTTTACTAAAGTAAAGTTTTTTTCAGGTGCAAAGATGGTTAGATGCCCACGCGAAGTACTTCAAGTCGACTCCAGTACAAGACTCAGGCGAAACTTACGTCGCCTACCGTACATACGGCCCTAGTCAGGTTCATTACGGATATACAGGCGTTATACAGTACACGCCAAATGTTGTGCGCTTACCTTACACAATGCAGCCACCGTTCAGAATATCACCAACGCAACCTCCAAAACTCTAAATACGTATTGTCTGTAGTTTACGCGAGTAGAACACATTTAACAAAACATATTTAACGGTTTAAGACGCGAAATTTATTAGTTAACTTATTTGCAATATATTTAGTAGCAGTCAAAATAGATTGTAAATAAATAAATATATTTCGCGTTAGAAGTGTTTTTTTAAGCCTAAATACGTTTGAACTTTTTATTGTAACGTAGTAAAAAATAAAGTGACGTCTCTGTAAATAAATATTTGTCTCATTCTTCTACACTTCGTAGTGGAGGAAAAAAAATTGTTTGTTTTCCTGAGCTATGAACTTAGGGTACCAATAGAGACAACCGTATGGTTCACTTAATCGTAGGTAATATACCTTAGCCTATAGCATCTAAACGAGATGTGCTTCTTTGCAAAGTAGCAGAATGACAGATTGTATTGTACCTACTTAGTTTGAGAAATTTATTTATTTCTCTTCACACTAAGCATTGTAATCGTGTTTGATTTTAAATCGAGAAGGACATCCAAGCACGGGGTTCTCTTTGGTGTACCTACCATGCCTATAGCATCGAAACAAGATACATATAAGATTTTGGCTTTGGATATTCGAAAATCCACAGACTGAAACCGAAACGTAATTAAATTTCACGGCTCTTTCAATTCTATATTCCTACCTAGTATTTGATATCCAGATTTCCAACATGTTTCAGAAACATTAGACTTGGTGGCGATCGACCACGGCCCGTTGATTATTTACCCTACATTACTACCATTAGACCAGCCCGTCGAAGCTGGGTAATTAATTATTAATAAGTTTATTTTAAGTAATATTAAGAAGTAGTAAGTTTCGCACTTCATGCACACTGTATAGTTTTTAATTAATCGTTAAGTTTCTTTTAAAAATCGAAAATAAATTGAAAAATTTTTCGACTCGGGCAGGACTTGAACCGGCATCGTCAGCTTTCCGTGCTGTTGCTCTACCAATTGAGCTACCGAGTCCTACACCTCATCGTCGAATTTTTTCAACTTATTGATACATGCACCTCTCACGCAGTGTAATTTCAACCTTAACACTTGCGTACTAAGGTTCAATGTCTTATGCTTTGCAGCTTGAGAAATCATTGAAGATGAAATTACAAAGTTATAACGTTTGAAAACATTGATATTTTTCACATGTTGCACATGAAGGCACTATATAATTTAAAAATCGAAAATAAATTGAAAAATTTTCGATTTTTCATTATGGGAAGTTGAAAACATGTGAAAAATATTACTGTTTTCAAACGTTAAGTTTCTTTCTACTCGGGTTGCCTGGAAGAGATCGCTGATAGCGATAAGGCCGCCCGTAAGTTCTGTTTGGTGTACCTAAATGAACCCACACATCTATCTACCTCTTTAAAAAACCTTTATAGGACGACGAGCAATAAAACAACAAAGTTTATCAGCAGTATTATTTAAATTGCTTTGAATCACAATTTCGTAGTGTTTATAGATTATAATAATTACAAAGGAAGATTATTTTTCATTTCAAAATACATAGTATCCAGTCCATACTTTTCTATAAAAAACACAAACAAACAAACAAACTCCCGAGGTGGTATAACAATTTTTGTTCTAATATTATGATACAATAAACAAAATATATACATTTATTGAAACATTTTAAAGTTGACGTACTGTTCTAAATTTGAATTTTATTTTATTTAACAGTTTAAAACGCGAATTACATTAAGTTAATATCGCGTTTTAATCTGGTAATATGTATTGAACGTTTAAATAACATAAAACTTCGTTACTTAATACCTCGGGACAAAAAAATGAACTAATATAGGTCTAATATGTAGTTCGGATTCCAGGGCAGAACTCAAAATACATTCTTAAAAATATTACAATAATTATTGCTCTATTCGTTATAGTGATCTTCTATATAAGGTAAGTTACATCGGTAAAGTTAACTGGATACTTCAGAGCACACATCATCCTTCCCCAATTTAGGTGCGGTACAATGGTACCCCGACTTAATCCCAGAAGTGGGACTAATCTGTCCAAGTCGAAATTTTACATTTAAATTGTAAATTACACGTTTCTTTGATTTTATTTACAACAGTCGATCAGACTCTTGTGCCTCCACGACGGTCCAAGGATCTTTCGCGTTCAACGCAATTGAGCTGCCAAAGGTTGTAAATATCCAAACGAATTCCGAGTGGAAGTGGTGATAAAGGGGGGGGGGGGTGTATGCGTAAGTCGGAGTACCCGTGTACCACTTTATACTGGCAGTACATAACAACTTTTTACACTCTTCTATAATATATTGAAAATTAATAACAACGATTACAATGCATACAATTTTATATATACAAAAGAATCTTAATAAATTCGCTATTAAAAATTAAGCAACAATCGCAAAGTCAAAACGAGGCGAACAAATCCTAAGTCTAAAGTCTAAAGTAAGTACTAAATGGAGATAAAAACTTAAACGGTGTAATGACTAGTCCTAGCGGTAAGTGAACGGAACCTACGATCTATAAAGGAACAATATCTAATTGATATGCAATATTATACTTAGGCAGGCATCTAGAACAGGTTGAAATTTTGTTTAGAATTAAAATGTAGGTAAACTTATTTGAAAATAATTTAAACTACGGCCCGACGTTTCGGATGCTTTGCGGTAGCCGTGGTCACGATTAAAGATGGAGAGACTGTGTCTCTGACATCTCCATGGGCATTTTCAGATTCAAACTTCAACCGAAAGTATTGTGTTCCTATCATTATTTTGAACCCAGAAGCTGTTTAGAATAACAAATAAAAAAAAATTATGATGTCTCTGTTAAGAACAGACAGCAAAGAAACGTCTTCGACTAATTCTATACAAAATATCAACCTATTTAATTTAAATCAAGCTATAACAAATAAACAACGCTAAAAATCAACAATTTACATAACCATTACAGTAGCACTTCGAACGTACAAATTAAATTTTTGCAATTTTATCACATTCGTTGAAAACGTTCGCCTCTGGCGCACTTAGTGATAAATTTTGAGAATTTTTACACGATCATCTAGCCCCTAAGAGTAGGCCTTGACCAAAAACTGATCACTGAAGAGAACCTGTCAGTATACATAGTATCATGAGTCGAGTGGATACAAGTAGACCAACAAGACTCTCAGTAGAATAACCAAATACTAGTAAAAACGCTCAAAATTTAGACCGATTAAGTACCTAAGTAGTAGCCGAAATTAACCCAACCTAGCTCTCAATCCGAGTTCCAATATTACAGTACTATTCGTTATAATTAGCTATGTCTAGTACGATTTTTAAAACGTGTGAACAAGCCTCTTATTAATATAATAATAAAAAGTAGTTGAATTTTTTTAAATTTAAATTCTATTTATAGATTTTCAAGATTTTTTCCATTTTCCATTTTGATTTCTATATTTTATCTAACTATGTCTACGTCTAGTGCACTATCTTTTAGCTGTGGTCAATAACTAAGGCGATTCGTAACTGATGCTCCATTATTGTTTTTTTTTTTAATTTATTTTTTATCTTTTATAAGCTTTCGTTTTTGTTATAGAATTTTTTATCGCGATTAATAAAATATTGAAATTCATTACAAAGTTTAAGTATTTAAAGAATTTTATCAAATTTATCGTAGACAAAACCGCTTCGATAAAGTTTTAAAATTGACAGAAATTCGTGGAGCAAAAGTTACAACGGCACTAATAAGCGATCTATTCTTTTATTGCGACGATCGTGTGGATAATAAAATACTCTCTTCAATATAAATCGGAGTAATTTTCACGACAAAAATATTATTGCTTTCGATTGTCACGATTATCGTTAAAAATATTTCATACGACTCGACTACCCCTAAAATATACCGATGGCTATCCGGAAGCGGCGTGCACGCTATCCAAAAATATATACATGACCACTAGCTAAACGAGCTGACGATTCAAAACGAGAACGAGAATCGAATCGAGAAATAAAAAAATCGAGAACTTTTGGCGATACAATTCCGAAATACTGATTCCGTACTCGCCGTCTACATATATAAATATAGCATCTTAAAATTAGCAATCCAAAAATATAAAATGTACACATTACATCCGCGCCTCCGTGCGTCGCGTCGAGGGAGCCCCGAGATCACGCCAATAGTTCGCGCACAGAGGACAAAAAGCCGCCCCAACTGGACGGTTAATCTCGAACTTCGTCGTTTTACATTCATAAATTTTCATCTAACTCGTGCTATTATTAGAGATTTCCAGCTTTCCAAATCTATTCAAAAACTTTAGCAAAACCACCCGACGTACCTCGCGATACCGGCTGGAAATCGTTAATAACGCCAAAATTTTATCGTTCGACAATTCCGGGCCAACCGATCCTTAAAGAGGATGCCAGATAACTTCAAACGACACTTTAGGAGTTTCATCGAAGATAAAATAAACAGATTCGAGATAGTATTGTTTTAAAATTCCCTAAATTGTTCATGAAGTTATATAAAGGAGGATAACAAAAATAATGTGAACGGAGAATATAAGGTCAACTCAAATACGGCCCTGCACAAGCAAAGCGATCTTTAGTCATTCGTAACTTTTGCTTTATAAAAATACGAATCCAAAATATGTCGACGACAGCACGTCTTAATATGTTAAGCTATCGTTACTTCTAAAATTCTTAATCTAGAATCTAGACTACGTTAAAATATCAGAGAATTCAGAAAAAGGGAATATTTAGGTATCTCTATATTTAAATGGTGCACAACCTTATGTTTTCATGAACGCTATATTAGTATGGCATTTAGCTTTATTTAGGAATCTAAAACAAAGTTAACTATCTAGAGAACTAATCGTTAATAGTTAAATTTCATAGGAGTAGGAACTAGGGGAATTCAAATCGAACGAATTTATATTGAAATCTCAAGATAACGATAGAGATAAAACAAGGGAAGAAATTTTAAGACATCGCGGATGAGCGTCGAATGCGGCCGACTCAACTGAGCCTGCGATTACAGAGAATAAATCTATTAGGCTGGAATGGAACCTCACGGTTGACGTTAGACCAATAGTAAAACTAACTTTTTTTTTCTTAAATACGATAAAATCTCAAAATAGTCACAGCTCGTCGGGTTTATTGTATTTTACGCTAGGTGCATCTACTTTATAAGAACAGTGGCTTTAATAATTTGAATTTGTACTTAACCTACACTCTTTAACTTCACCGTGAAAATCATCGACGTAAACGAAAGAAATTTCTCAAACGTAACGACTCATTCGAGTAAAGTAATTAACGCTTAACTCCAATGGCACAAAAGTATGACTTGTCGAGAACGTCTTCAGCATCGGCGTCCTACGAGGATTATTTTACATCCAATTTAGTTTCAAAAATATGATTCCAATAAACGTTCTAAACAAATTTCTCAAAAATACATTATGAAAATATAATACACGATAAAATTTATACTAAATATAACCCTGTCTATGACCTGAAGTTTGAAAGCAAAGAAGGAAATAAAGTAACACAAAAGAACAGTAAATCAAAGCGGATCAAAGATGAGAAAACAAAAGAGAAGAGAAAAATAAATCATAGAAGTAATCTCTCTACAGATCCGAGTTAGTTTCTCGAAGAAGTTTGAGGAATTTTCTTAACCATCATGCAACCTACATTAAGGGATGTGATTCAAAATTATCTTAAACTAAATAAACTAGATATACCTTGTCTAATATAGGATGCTAAATTTGGCAGCTTCCTATAAGCATATCGTTACTGTGCTGTTTGAAGTACGACAAAAAATTATGTTTACACAGATCTAGCAAAATTATTGAACTTTTGTCTTTTTCTGTGCGTCGATTCTGCACAGTACAAATGATTATAAGGTCGCACAAAAATAACTATGGTTCCTAGCTACTGTATTTAGGAATAATAAAAACAAAAAGCGATCACCGTTTGTCAAATGTACCATCCTATTTCAGACTAGCAACTAACTGCTCGCTGAATCAAGAAGGGTCTATTCAACTTCAGAACATTTGATGGTAATGGTAAGAGGTGGTGGTAGAGAGGATCTTGGGGAACTGTTGCACGGCGTCAGGTCACATTTTAAATAAAAGCTCGATTAACTCATCATCAGCGTTCATTGGTGATTCGGGCGCTAAGTAATCGATGATCCTAGAACAAACAATTGACAATTTATATTATAAATGTTCATCCAAATTTTTAATCTAAAGAGCCATCTATAATTACCTCTTTGCCCGTAGTTTACGAAATCATTGTCATTGAAATAAAACCTTTTTACGGTTCAAACGCGAAATGTATTACTTAAGAGCTTATTTAAAAATTAATTTAACTACGGGCGTTTCGGATGCTTTGCAGCAGCCGTGGTCACAGGGAGACTACAAATGGACGTCAAATTAAAAAAATTGCTACGCTAGCGCCACCTGTTCCGTCAAAGTTGGTATTTGGTAAATAAGTTTAAATAACATATATCGCATTTTAAATCGTTAAATTATTTTATTTAAATGTGTACTCCTCGCATAAACTTAAGACAGTATTAAATTAATAGTAAAATTCATTTTCGCCTAAGTTACTTTTCTTCTTATTGAGAATCGTGTATTTTGTTTGGTTACCTATTATGCATGTGTGGTATACTGGTGGTGGGCGGCGACGAGTTTTGGAGGGCAACCTGCGACAGCCGGGCCGCCCTCACGCTTGCGGCTCGTTCTCTCTGCAATCTGTGGAAGGCATTAATCATCAGTACACCCACCACTCCACTTGACCCACCACTCCACTCCACCCTACTGAGCAAAGTTGGATATACAATAAAATTCCATTTCCTTCGTTGGGGAAAATGGGGAAGACAATTTTTTTCATTAATCCTCGATTTAATTATGATAGTCTTCTAGTTTTTCACCAGGATTCAAATCTACACTACTTTACAATCCCAAGGTCCAATCTTGCCAATTTTTAAATACTCACATTCGTTGTGAACTCCTCCCAAGTACTAGCGGCATACAAAGAGATTGTTAGTTAAATATTTATAGAAAAACAGTTGACATTCTTTAATAAGGGTTAAAACGGGAAAGATTAAATTAGTTATTCAATAATTATATATGTCTCGGAGACATCAAAGCTATATAAAAAAAGGGGTTCTTTCATTATTTTGGATATATATTTTTATAGTAATGGGTAACATCTGTACTAATATATTAAGCTAAAGAGTTTGTTTCTTTGTTTGAACGCGCTAATCTCAGGAACTACTGGTTCGAATTGAAAAATTATTTTTGTGATGGTATCTTATATCCTATAGACACAGCGTGATGTTCTATAGCCTAAGGCATTTCTCGATAAGTGTTCTAACCGACACGGTTTTTTTTATTCGAACCAGTCGTTCGAGAGATTAGCGCATACAAACAAACAATTTTCTACTGTCTATAGTTTACGCGAGTAATACACATTTAAATAAAACACTTTAACGGTTTAAAACGCGATATATTAGTTAAACTTATTTGAAAATGATTTTTAACTTCGGCCCGACGTTTCGGATGCTTTGCAGCAGCCGTGGTGACGGGCCCATGACCACGGCGCGTTTTAAACTGTTAAAGTGTTTTATTTAAACAATTTTCTGCAAATAAATTATCAAACAGACACGGTAAAGAAGCATGCGACATCCCTTGTGAATGTGCCTAAATATTTGAAACGGAAGCCATATTACAGTGTTGATAATTCTTGCTGAAATTGGCCCCAAGTCAAACACAATTAACAGACGGCTTCAATATAATTTATCAAATTAATTACAAAGTTCACATGAATACCATCAATGTCAATTTTGATAGCGTTAAGAGGCCGGAAGTTTTAATTAAGACTCGAAGTAAAGTTTGTGGAACGGATTAAAACGGAAATTTTAGGACGAAATAAATATTTGTGCAAGTCGAAATTATTCCGATATCGGATTTGGGTCTCGATTGTGCAATGTGCTTGCAATTGAACGGTTTTAAACGCGAGATATATTTAAAAATTAATTACTTCCAGATCAAGTATCAATAAGTTGAAACAATTCGTCTATGAGACTAGGACTCGGTAGCTCAATTGGTAGAGCAACAGCAGTAACCTGACGATGACGGTTCAAGTCCTGCCCGAGTCGAACATTTTTTCAATTAACTAGCGAGATATATTGTTGCATCACTTTAAAGTGAACTATATTTGTTAATTTTAAAATAAATCATTTTAAACGGTTTTAACGTGAATTATACACATTACACTTTAAATATGAAAATGCTTTTGAACGCGTTAGTACGCGAACTATATTCACTGACCTGTTTAAAAAAAAACACTTATAAACTGTTTAAAACGATATTTACTTATTGTACAGTGATTAAAAACGATGCTTTTAAAATGCGAATTGTATTATTTAATTCGTTTTGAAATACAACACTTCTATGCGACTGCAAACACGAATTATAGTAATTCGTTAGTTGTTTAATAAAACGCTATAAAACACTAAAACAGATTAAAATGTGAACTGTATTAGTTTATTTTTTTTATAAAACACATTTAAGTATTAGTATATCATGCGTTACCATATTTACTAGAAATAGAAGTAATTTTATAAATCTATTCAAAATAGAATAAGATGATAATAGAATTACATATACAAAATAAAAATGTTTGTGCAAAGGCGGCTTATCGCCTATGATTTCTTGCAGGCAACCTTTGCATGTAGAAATAAGAAATAAAAAAGATAATTTTGGAAAACAATCAAAAGTCAACATAAATGTTGACTGAAGTAAATGCGGTATCCCAATTGTTCGAACAACAAGCCGTGACAATGTGTTTGAGATCCTTTGCGATCAGTACTCACTTGATTTTTGTCTGTCTCATGAACTGTTGTATCTTCCTCGCTGCCTGATTCTGCCGTCGTTGTGAGTAAGTCCTCCTTTGAAAAGTGGAAAATCTATACATTGATATTTCAAGTATTTATTTGTATCGTGTATTTTTTATAACTTGGCATTTTTTGGAAACAAACACACAATTGTAGTACGAAACGTGAGTTTAATATCGAAAACATCTTTAATCGTTTGTAAAAGCGATATATTAGTTAAACGTATATGTCGGGCCCTTCCCGTGACCACGGCTGCTGCAAAGCATCCGAAACGTCGGGCCAAAGTTAAATATCATTTTCAAATAAGTTATTGGTTTAACGTTAAAGTGTTTTATTTAAACAAACACACAATTTACACGAAATCGTAATTTTCTCACAAGGTTTATTTACTAGAGATGGGACGAGTACTCGGTTGATACTCGGTACTTTGCGTTTTCGGCGGGGGTTTTGATACTCGTACTCGTTATCAAATAACCAAGTATTTGATAACATAGTATTTTTTGTTTGTTTGTAGTTTTAGTAGAATAAGTAGCTTACTTGATGGTAGCGGTGGCACTCTGGTGTCGCCGCTCTTGATGGGAGCGGAATCCGCGCTGGATGACGGTAGCTGCTGCATGCATTTGCTTCAGGTAAGCGAACTGGAACAAGGATCACACTGATACTCCGCCTTTTCAGCATATATTTAAAACCCTTTAACGGTTTAAAACGCGAAATATTAGTTACACTTGTTTACAATATTATTTTAACTACGGCCAGACGTTGATGCTTTGCTGCAGTCGTGGTCACTTATATTTCGCGGTATATACTAGATTTTTCGCGTTTTAAACCGTTGAAGTGGTTTTATTTAAATGTACAATTGCGTTAATAACAGATTATTCTGTTATATTATATTATGTAATATTTGTTAATTTAGATAAGAAATAGAGAATAGGAACAAGTGAGACTTAGTATCATTTTAAATTTAGTTTAAGCGCCTATCTCGTATACTTTAATAATATTAATGAAGACAACTAGAGGCGTTTACCTGTTACCATTGCCATGCAAAGAAAATTTGTTTAAATTGAATAGAAAATAGATAACGGTTTAAAGCGACAGTTATTTTAAAATGCAAAATTTCAAATGCCTTATGGTAATCAAAAAACCCCAAACATGGCTCATGAGACTCCGCGCCAACTAGTTTCGATTATGACGTAACAGATGGCGCTAGCGTAGCAAAGTTCCTCCGCGACTATTCACAGGTAATAATAAATATATTTTGCGTTGTCGTTTGTTAACAAAATATTAACTTGCTTGTTGACTTTTTGTAATGCGTCGTAGTGTAATTGTTAAGTAAGTAAGGTAAGTAATGACCTGTTTGTACCGCCTGTAGCAGTTCTGTATGGTTATAGCGGCCGCTGCAGCGCGCCTTTGAAGTTGCCGACCGCGGTACTGCCTGTACGCCTTCTGTATAGTTATGGCAGCCGAATACAACTCACGTTGTTCGCGATCTAGAAAGAAGATATGCAAAGTGAAATCCCACTTTCACCCTTGGGGCATGGGGTAAACACAGTCTGTGTCTGATTCACTGATTGGTTTTATTAGAAGCCAAGTCCACGACCAGATTTCTATGCCCTGTCCGACCGAATCAAATGATTGTTTATTGGGACTATTGTTTATACGTTTGGACATTTTGCATAGACGTTCACCTACCCTGGCTGGGTCTTACTTGATGATAGTTGAAATACAGATATAGAACCTAAACAAGATGCGCTGTCAATCTATTTTGACTTTGGATATTCGGAAATCCACTGACTGGAACCGAAACGTGATTAAACGTCACGGCATTTTCCTCTGTGAATGTGAATTGCTATATTCTTGCCACCCTTTAATTATCCAGATTTCCAGACGAAGTCCAACATGTCGCAGGTAAATTATAAATTGATTAGGAGATGTTGGACCCGGTAGGAATCGAACCCAGTTGATTGCTACCATTACAACGACAAGGCCGTCAAAAACGTTAACTATTTAGCTACAGAGGGGAAGAAAAATTAAAAGAATAATAAACAAATTTTGATTAAAAATAAAGAGCAGAAGAAAGAAGAAGTCTTCGCTGAGTAAGAAAAAGCTAATGTTAAATCACCATTCAGTGTGAGACTTGAGAAATGGGTGGTAGTGTTAAGAAACTCCTGCAGCGTAGCTGGTGGAGAACTCGGCAGAGCTGACAATGGTGACGCTGGTGGTGGCGACAAGGCGGAGCCAGGCGACACAGAACCTGATGAACAGGGCGTTGAACCACCGCAGTATCTGGAATTTGATGATGAAATGGATGTTAGAGAAAACTTTAATATTTTTAACATGTTAATAAATGATGGCATTACAAGTATATAAGTTCAACATCCACCATTCACGCCGTACCGTACTGCCGCTTTAACCAATGAAACTTCCGTGTTCATCAAATATCTCATCGAATTAAATGATATAGTGCATCACAGCACGGTAGCTCAATTAGTTTTAACGCTGTGGATGGCAGTTTAATGTAAGTATTAACACTTATAGTGGAGTGTAAACAGGGTCCTGTCAGACTTATCACGTTAAATTTTCCTGAGTTAAGTCCACTATTATCAATGAAATTTAAAGAAGTTTTTTTTTTTAATGAATTAGATACTGAGACAATCTAGTAAATAACATAGAAATGTCAACGTCAATTATTATGAACCTTTGTAAATATACCGAGAACCATTCTAGCCTAGCCATGTTCTTTTACAAATCAATGTCATAAATCTGGCCCTGTATTTTGAACAATAAAATTGATCTCACTTACGTCCTATACGTATTATCGCAAAACTCGAAATTGAATTCCGTATTGAAGGCTGTACTGTCATCCAGGAGTGGCACCATCAGCGCGTCATCACCGCCACCAGATCCGCTGTCCAGCTCGCAGCCGGACAGCAATGTAGAGCTTTCGTTCTGAAAAAGGAGTTTCGAATACTTTCTACAGTTTACGCAAGTAGTACACATTTAAATAAAACACTTTAACTGTTTAAAACGCGATATATATTAGTTAAACTTATTTGAAATTCATATTTAATTTCGGCCCGACGTTTCGGATGCTTTGCAGCAGCCGTGGTCATAGGTCTAGGCCCCCCGTGACTAGAGCTTTGTTAAAGTGTCTTATTTAAAAGGAATTCTAAGATGAGCGTTAGAAGGTATCGTGGCGATTAGAAGTAAATCAGAAATCTAATTGGATTTACGACACGGGCAGTTCTTGGACCGGTATTCACAGCGTTCCCTACTGTTGCTCTAGCCAAATGAGCTACCGAGTCCTACACCTCGAGGTCGAATTTTTTCAACCTATAGATGTATCTCTTATGCAATGTAATTTCAACCTTAACACTTTTCACGTGACTTTGCACTTGATGGGAGTATAAAAATAAAGAAATTATAAAAATTTAATTTATATTTTATTTTAAATTAAAATTTGAAACAAGATGTTAAAAAAGATTAAGTTAGCAAACGTGAAACTCTGAAATTTCATCTACAATGATTTGTTAAACTACAGACATATGACATTGAACCACAATTTAGCAAGTACTAAGGTTGAAAAAACATTGCGCGAGAAGTAAATAAATTAAATATTTCTTAATTTATTGCTTATGAGAACACTGATGATAAGACTCGGTAGCTCAATTGGTTGAAGCAACAGCACGGAACGCTCTGGATGCCGATTCAAGTCCTGCCCTAGACATATCTTTTTTTACTTCATAATCGAATTTTAATCTGTGTATACCTTTATTCTTTCCGGCATCGCTGCGATAATTTGCTCTGCTAGCGTAAACACTCTGTCATCCTGCTCCCCTGAAACGTTTTAATATATTGGAACATTGGATAGTCATAAATAGAATGGTCTACTACAAAAATTACCCTTACATAGCGATTGAGCTACAAATGGCTCAAAATCATAGCTTACTATGATAAATTCCATTTATTTAGCTTGAAACTATGTTTCACGAATACCATTGATTATAAGCTACTTGGGTCTTTGTGCGTCGTATTTCAAAAACTATCGACGTTCCGAAGAGGAACCAGGGCCGGATTTAGACGTGTGAAGGCCTCGGGGCAATAAGAGTAGAGGTGACCTCCGAAATTTTTCTAAATAAAGTAAAAGAGACTTTTTTTATTAAGTCATAATTCATGAAAATAGCCTGAATATATTTAATTATATATCTTTAACTAATGAAAACAGTATGAATGGGATTAACTATGTATTTCAATAACATATACAATCTAAGCAAACACACGAAATCCCCATAATCGAATATATGACTTTTGAAGAAAATTATAGTTCTATAGTTATTTTTTTTTTCAAAATGTTTAAATTAAAAATGTACCACTTCAAAAAAAATTATGACGTTGATGTTTTTAAAAATTTTAATTGTTTTATGATTTGGTTATCACACATGGCTATTTTTTCAGTTTCAAGAACCCAGTAGAATTTACAGTTAATGTAATGACCTATGACCTTGTCTGGTTAAAAATTAAAAAGTCTTCAGATTGAGACAATCTGACAAATCCCGGTGAGTTCCATTTAATCTGTTAACCTAGCGAGGCGCAATACTTATTCTTCACTTCATTTAGTCCTTTGACTAATCCTAATAATATTATTGCTCTTAGCGACTGATCGTTAATGAGTCAATCATAAATATTATGTGAAAAGATGCACGTTGGGGTATTGGAGCCCACCAACGGCCAAAAAAAAAAAAAATAATAATAATGTGAAAAGATGCACGTTGGGGTATTGGAGCCCACCAACGGCCAGCGGTAGCGAAATCCTATCCGAAAAAAAAAAATATAATAATTTATTCCCTGTGTCCGCGGCGCTCAGGACCGCCTAGATCACAGCATCGACCTAGTCAAATCATCCTTTAGAGCCTCTGCTTTATGCAGCATCGCCCTGTCTCCAACCTATCCTTACCATGTGTTGTCTATAATTGTATTCGCTATCCGCCTACACATTAAAAATACGAAACTGTTGTCATGTGGAATGAGCAGTTCAATAAAATTAAAAATCACGAAACTGTTGTCTTGTGGAATGAGCAGTTCAATAAAATTAAAAATACGAAACTGTTGTCATGTGGAATGAGCAGTTCAATAAAATTAAAAATACGAAACTGTTGTCATATGGAATGAGCAGTTCAATAAAATTAAAAATACGAAACTGTTGTCATGTGGAATGAGCAGTTCAATAAAATTAAAATATAAGATCACCAATATCATTAGTCCTTAACTGTTGTCATGTGGAATGAGCAGTTTACTTAAATAAGTCACCGTTTACAATAGCAATTGATTTAAACTGTTGTCATGTGGAATGAACAGTTAATTAAAATGACCTTTTACCAATATAATTTGTCACAGTAACTATTGTGGTGTGTTACACAACAATAATACCACAGGGGAAACAAAAAAAAAAAAAACGGGGGGTGTTTGTGGGGGGTCCTGGGTTGTGGAAAAAAAAAAAAAAAAAAAAAAAAAAAAAAAAAAAAAAAAAAAAAAAATATTTATAATAAAAAAAAAAATAAAACAAAAGGTTCCAAACCAAAAAAAAAAAAAAAAAAAAAAATAAAATATAAAAAAAAAAATAAAAAAAAAAAAAAACAAAAAAAGAACGGGGCGGGGCGCCCCCCGCCGGGGGGGGCGGGCCCCCCCCCCCAAAAACAAACAAAACCGCTCCCCCCCCCCCCCCCCCCCCCAAAAAAGAACAAAAAAAGACACGCCGGGGCCCCCCCCCCCCCCCCCCCCCCCAAAACACAATCGGCGGGCGCGGGGGCGGCGGGGGGGGGGGGGGGGGGGGGGGGGGGGGGGCGGCGACACCACACACAACTTTTTTTTTTTTTTTTTTTTTTTATAATTTTAATAAAAAAAAAAAAACACAAACAAAAAAAAAAAAAAAAAAAGGGCGGCCGCGCCCCCCCCCCCCCCAAAAAAAAAAAAACACACACACACCAACAACCCCCCCCTAATCAAACAACGAACATAAGAATATATAGAAGAAAATTATAGTGTATTTTTTTTTTTCAAAATAAATTAAAAATGTATTAAAAAAATATATGGTTAATGTTTTTAAAAATTTTAATTGTTTTATGATTTGTTATCACACATGTGCTATTTTTTTACTTTCAATAGATTTTTTTTTGTTATTATTAATGTATATTAACTTCTTGTAAGCCTGATATAAACCGAATCGAATCAATACATTAATTATTGTAGGACCCCGTGAAGGTGCCCCGCTCGCCATTCCCGTAAATCTGGCCCTGTGTGGCAGCCAGCCAAAACCCAAGTAACTTCACAAAAGGCCGCGGAAGCCTTTGATATCACTCACATCCAATAACATCAAACATCTTTAACAGTGCTCCATAAAACCAGTGTACTCACCTCGTTATAACAATATAGCGGGGATTCTACACATAAAAAGCAGTTATATTTATCGCTACATGCAAACTACCATGCAGTATCGTGGAGTAGATTTTATGTTGAGTCACTGATGACCCGTGTTCCTGGGTGAAGCCGTTTTGTCGTGTTGGGATTGACTGTGGATGGACCAGTTTGAACCATTAAAAGCAGACATCGACGGACAACATCGAACAAGCCGAACCGACATTATTTCATGCATTATTGGTAACAATAGTAAATTTAGTATGTTCATATTGTAATACTGTCTGTAGTTTACGCGAGTAGAACACATTTAAATAAAACACTTTAATGGTTTTAAACGCGATATATGAACAGCCGTGGTTATATCATAACTAATGTATATTCCAACTGCGACCCGACGTTTCAAACGCTTTGCGGTAACCCCCGAAACGTGGGGTCGTAGTTGGACTTAAAAATGAATAATTAATAATAATTTCGCCTCTTAATCTGTTAAAGTGTTTTATTGAAACAAATAAGTTAATATATTTGAAGTCATAACTTACGCAACACGCGATATGAGTCTGGCTTTACAAAACGGTCACGGTAGACAGAAACCGTTTATTATTGTTATAAAATTTCAATATTAAATAGCGTAGCTTAAATTAAGCCACCGTTTCTCTTGCGCTCACATGTTTATAACATTGTGTGATGCTGATAATCAGCATTGAAACCTTTGTCAGCAATCGCTTATTTTGCTGCTTCAATCTTAGTTTTATATTAACTTTTGTATTAATTGAAGTAGCTATAAATGATTACTTTATAAATTAATTTTTAATTTGGCAATATCATCGGTTCAGCTTAAAAAGGTCTCTACAAACAACACCGGGACGTCTCCGCTCGAAAGTGGATACAGTTAAAGAAGAACTACAAGTCTACCAACAGCTATGACTGAGCTACACTGGCAAGAGAGGGAGAGAGATACAGACAACGTTGATAGAAGAAGAAGGCCAGGGCGGCCATGCAACTACTACATACACAACATCGACAGACAACTCGAGCGGAGGTGGTAGCTCCAAAGTGAAACTGTATAGAACAGCTCTTCTCATCTCTTACACCAACAGACAAGCATTGTCTGTAGTTTACGCGAGTAATTCACATTTAAATAAAACACTTTAACGGTTTAAAACGCGATATATTTTAGTTAAACTTATTTGGAAATTATTTTAACTATAAGCCGACGTTTCAGATGCTTTTCACCAGTGGTCACGGAGAGACTTGCGTAGACGGCTGCTGCATAGCATCGAAAACGTCGGGCCCTAGTTTGAATAATTCCGAATGAGTTTAACTAATATATATCGCGTTTAAAACCATTAAAACGTTTTATTTAATCTTTTGTATAAAGCAAAACAGTAATTAAACTTACTTTTATTTTCAACTCCGACCCGACGTTTCAAACGCAGTAACCCCTGAAACGTCTTGTCGGAGTTAAAATTAAAAATAAGTAATTGTTTTCGCGGCTTGATCCGTTAAAAGTGTTTTATTTAATTAGACAATTTGAGTCGCATTGCCCGATCATTGTTGGTTTGTCCTGTGTCAGCGATCTATACAGTTTCGCACGAGCGAACTGACCTGCGTCGGACGGGCAAGGCGCGGACGAGGCGCGGGCGGACGAGGGGCGTTCGGGCAGGGGCGGGCTCGGGGCGCGCCTCGCCGCCGTCTCGCCTGCGCGGGCGGACAACTTTCAGTCGCGCGGCTGGGACGAGCGAATCACTCCTCTAGTTTGTTTCTAACTTAACCCGACAACTCTCGAGTTTTAATAACTAACCGACCACTATTTAACTGCGTCGTATTAACGTAGATAATTTCACTATAAGAGGCCATTCACACGAGCGTCGTTAGAACGTCGAAGTGGTGACCGTACAGTCGAATACAAAAATCTTTCAATGATTATACTAACAAAAATAGTAAAAACGTTTTGCAAAATTTTTGAGTTTAGAAGAACGAATACTTATGTAAATATATGTACAATGAATTTAATCTGATTTTTAAATTGAAATGAAAAACTCTAAACGGTTCAAAACGCGACGAGAGAGATGGCGCAAATTTTACTCTGACATTGGGGAACCCGAAACGTCGAGTCGTGTTTTAAATAAATAAATAAAAATAAATTGTAAATAAAAATAATTGACCAATTTATTTCGCGTTTTAAACCTTTAAAAGGCTGTTATAAATATTTAAGAGTTCCAAAAGATGAATCAATACTATATAATATACTATTAGAATACTAATTGAAGGAATTTTGTACTCGACTGTACCAACACGACGTCGACGCCCAAACGACGCCAGCCTGATTGGTGTTTAATTCAATAATTTTCATGTTTACGAATAAAAATTTTGACCTAGGGACGTGGAACGACGCTGAAACCTGCATCCGATTGGAATAGGCTAAGTGAAATAAAAATTTAGAAGTACCCAAGAAAGGGCGTATTGCCGATCAACTAAATAATCGTTTGCAAATGAAAACTAACTTTTCTAAGAGGTAGATATACATAGTGAGCTTGGGAACTTACAGAGGGCCAGATCCATGCGCCTGCCGATCTTCATGTCTCCAAGACTGTCTTCGGAAGTGTCAGAGTCTAAAGGTAGCGACATACTTCTCTCCCACCTAAAATAGATTTGACGGGCGCGTTGGTGTAATGGTAGAAATGGTCTATAATCAACGGATGCCTACCAGGTCTGAGATGTTTCTAATCAATTTATAATTTTTCTAAAACATGTTGGACTTCGTCTGGAAATCTCGATATTAAATGGAAGGTCCGTCCATAGACGAGCCGTCAAGTTAATTGCGTTTCGGTTCGTGGACTTCCGAATATCCGAAGCCAAAATACACAGCGCATTTAAATTTTATATGGCTGGGGCATTTCAGCTATCATCAAGTGAACCGTACGTTTGCCCGTCCTCCTCTGTCACAAGCAAGGGGTATATAACCTCTTTGGCTGATTGGTGTGGTAGCAACGGCTAACAATCCACGAGTCGTGGGGTCAATTCCCATCGGTGGTTCTACTAAGTCGATGTTACATTTTTTCCGGTCCTGAACATTCTGGAAAAACTGAACAAGCGGGTGGTAGAAACAAATTCCGTTCGAATCACTAGCCACCACGAATAGAACAGTCAGTTTAGTTACCAGTTTCTGGACGTTGACTATCAGGAAACACGAACAGAGTCTTAGATCGACAGCATCTTGTTAAGATATGGTGTTCCTTCTATCGTGTGATCTTCGTGTCTATCGTCATCTGTTATAAATGATCCAGATTACCTTAAAGACGCCGAGTCACTTCTGTCGATAGCTGAACTGGAACGAAACGCGTCAGCCATGTTGATGCCGCTGTCGATAGAAGGGCGTTTGACCAAATTACTTTCTAAGCTACCAGCCCGACCCTTCTGTGACAAACTGAAAGAACATGGAGCCTTTAAAAGAACTTTGTAAAGAGCTAGTTGATGGTATTGTATGACTAATAATGGCAACGTATGACGAATAATCTAACAATGTTTAATAAATTTATAATGTTTCTGAAACCAAAATGTTTCAGAAACATTATAAATTATCGTGAGTAGGAATATCAACTCACGAACCACCGTCCACAGATAAAAAACCGAAAAGTTTAATCGCGTTTCGGTATCAGTCTGAGGATTTCCAAATATCCAAAGCCAAAATAGGCCGACAGCGCTTCTTGTTAAGGTACTATAGGCTGGGGTATCATTTGTCTGTTCTCTATCATAAAAAAAAACATGAAAAATCAGCCACAGAGGACCATTAATAATTGTTAATAATTAATTGTTTTTTAGTAATTTCTAATTCTTACATTTTGAGAATTTTCAATAATTAGAGCTAAAAGTACCGTAAAGAAAATAAATGTCTTTTTTGTTCTATCAGCAAAAAAAATTGTGAAAATGTCCATGTTTACGCAACTTTAAGCCATCAAATTATCTTTTGACGATATTTTCGTCAACAGCTTCGTCCATTTTATACCTGTGAGGCCTCCGAAAAACAGCATCTCCAGTTGGTGGATGAATCCTGTCCAGCAGTGCAGCGAGCTTGGTGTGCCCAGCCCTCCGTGCTGCAGCTGCAGCAGCCCTCGCTCCAGCTTCTCGTCGAGTGCCTGCACTCCATCTTGCTAATACTACTGCAGTGTCTATGTGACCAGCCGCGCTGGCTACCATCTTGAATTGATACAAGTTGATTATTAATGACATTTATAGTTCTTGCGGAATCTTAGCCTTTGAAAAGTTTCTTTTCATATACTTTGCACATGATGGCATTATTTAAAGCTAAAATCTATTTGGATTCAGTTCCTATATGAATTCATGTCGTGGAAATCTATGCTAATATTGTAAAGCAGTTTGTTTGTTTAAACGAGCTAATCTTAAGATCTATTAATTAAAAAAATATTTTTGTGTTGGTTGCACCCTTTAACGAGAAAGGTTATTAAGCACAGAGATCTGATTTGTAGGAGTGAAGGATCAGTGAGAAATGGTGAAAATCAGGGACAGTTAGTAAGGGCATCTTTTGCCTGCGTTGCGAATACGGGTCAAGAAATCGGTAAATATGAATGAAATAATGATTCTTTTTTAAATGATTTTAAAAATGTACTAGACAGTGTGATTTCATCTCTTGAGGTTTATTTGGAAGAACGACGTCACGCGGTCGTAACAGCTATAATTTTTAAAGTTGAGAAAATTGTTTCCAACAATAAATAATATAATGCTCAAAATAACAATTCCATGCGGAAAAAGTCGCAGGAACAGCTAGTATATCATACATATAGATCAAACGGCAACGGTAACTAGCAATACTAGAGGTGCGTCTAGCGTTAAATAAATAAACTATTAAATACTGTCTATAGTTTACGCGAGTAGTACACATTTAAATAAAACACTTTAACGGTTTAAAACGCGATATATTAGCTAAACTTATTGGGAAATTATTTTTAACTTCGGCCCGACGTTTCGGATGCTTTGCAGCAGCCGTGGTCACGGGGAGAGTTAGAAATCATTTCCAAATAAGTTTAACTAACATATCGCGTTTTAAACCGTTAAAGTGTTTTATTTAAATAAATAAACTATTTCTAACCAGCGGTGTACAGTTGTCAATGTCCCTTGCACCCAAATTGACTTCCTTCTCCAGAGCTAAGCTATTATCATCCTGCCTCCATCGGAGTAGCGCTGTCGTCAATTTGGTGTAGCCCAGTGCTGCAGCCAAGTGCAGTATAGTAGAGCCTTCTTCGCTGGGTTCAGTTGCAAAACCTTCGGATGTGCCAGAGGAGCGATTGCTCAGTGATTGGCAGAATGTGACGAGGCGATCTTCGAATTTTGGATTTGTGTACAGCTGGACGTCCTCGACCTGGAAGTAGAAGAATCGTGATTAAGTCTCTCTCAGTTTAATGCCACCAATACAGGTTTAAGACTGCACAAATTATTTTGAACCTTAACACGTATGTTTTAAAGTTTGTATTACATGTATTTTTGTGAAGAAATTTTATAAGTATGGGTGTAAGTACTCATGGTAGGTGTATTTTTTTTTATGATAGAGGACAGACAACATGAGTTCTAAGCATACATAACATATAACATTTAATCAAAATGTGCTGTCGGCTGATTTTGTCTTCAGATATTCGGAAATCCGAAACTACGAAACGAAATCCAAAACCGAAACGCTATTAAACGTTTCCAGCTGTGGACACTGGTTCATGAAATGGACGAAATTTTAATGTAACCACCATTTAATATAATATCTAGATTTCCAGATGAACTCCAAAATCAGCATATCATTGTCTTTCGTGCTGTTCGGCCGACGTGAGCGAGAACCTCTTCTGAGGTTCGCCGTTTCGCCATCATGCCACTCGACATCATCAGGATTGATATGATCTCCTAATGAAGGAACCTCTTTTCGCTCACTTCGGCCGAACAGCCCGAGATACCTATGCTGAACGATGGCTGTGAAACTCCAAAATGTTTCAGAAGATGTATAAATCGATTAGAATTGTGTGAACATGTTAGACCCGGTGGGAATCGAATCCACGACGCGTTGATTGTTAGGCATACATTGTTACCACTACACTAGTAAGCTCTATTGGTTAGACCAACAACACGACTTGCTGTGAATCGCTTGGTCTCTTCAAGGCGCGCTCGTGTTAACAATCAAAAAATAGCTTTTCAATTTTATATCTAAGTTATATGTCAAGTGGTACCTGATTATTGTCATCCATAGGTTCCGTCTTCAGCTGCAGCCTTCCATGCAGGCGTTGTAAGCGTTGCAGCAAAGCGAACCTCCTGAAATCCAAAGAAGGCAACGGCGCAGACGCTGGTGACGTCGGAGCTGGTACTGGACCAGCTTTGTACTCGAAGACAACCGTATCAGACACGACACGACCACCTCGCGCGACTTGGAGGGCTGCTAAGCCGGCTTCGTGGGCTGGAAAGTACATTGAAGGATTAGCACAGACCCCTTCGTTAAAGCCAAAAAATGAAATCTATACTAATATATAAAGCTGAAGAGTTTGTTTGTTTGAACGCGCCAATCTCAGGAATCACTGGTTCGAATTGAAAAATTATTTATTATGATGTTTAGAGCTTTTAACGAGGAAAGCTATAGGCATCGCACTAATACTTATAATAAGAAACAGCGAGAAATGTGAAAAATACGGGAAACATTATTCATCCTTGGTGTTTTCGTCGCGTACGCTGTAAAACGGTTCAAGATACCCTAAAAATATGTATGAAAGAATGATTCCTCTTTAAATGACCTAAAAATATTCGCGACTGTATATGTCTATCTTTTAAGATTAACTTGCAAGAACGACGGGCTGTAATTTATAGAGATGAGGAGGTTTGCAAAATCCAATTTTGATGTCCGAAATAAGTATTCTATGTGGACGAAGTCGCTGACTGATGTACGGACTAAATAATAATTAAGGCTAGAACCAGAGTAGCCTAGTAACAAATATATAGTTGAATAAAACACTTTAACACTTTAAAACGCGATATATTATTTAAACTTATTGGAAAATGATTTTTAACTTCAGCGCGACGTTTCGGATGCTTTGCAGCAGGCGCTTATATAACTTGTAAGTGTACATAACTTTTAAACTATTTGCTAAACTGTTAAGGATGCATTTAAACTTTACTTTTCAGTAGCTGCGCCAGTGACATCGTCTGCGTTGTTTAAAAAAAGAAAGTTTAAAGATAAGGTCATCTATTTTTTTAGTTAAAATGTTCACCTGGACAGTAGCACCTCAAGAGTCCGTTCTGCACTAAAATCGATGGTACAGGGAAGTTATCGAACAAGACCGTGTACTGATCTGATGTTTCCGACCAAGGACCAGCCACGAGGACCTTTACCCCTCCTTCAGGGTACGCCCACTCAGGACAGTAGTCCGTGATGCTTAGAGCCCGTTCATTAATACTGTCTGTCTGCATCTTCTCGTGGTTACCGCATAATGACTGTAAAATGATTGTGCTCATAACTGTGATATCATAAACATTATTGTTAGTTATGTCTGGATTTCCCAGCCTGGCGAGTGGGGCTTAAACATTTTTACGGTTACCCTATCGCCGCTTCGCTGAATCGAAATTAATTAAGAGACGGTGATGGAATAGCTAGATATAATGCAGCCGCCTTCTTGGATAGTTTACCAACCAAGTGCTTGATCCATATACCACTAGTGATTAAAATCATTCTATATAACAAAGAACATTTACTAACTTTTCTCGGACGTTGTTTGAGTTTTAGGAAAAGAAAATAATTTTTCGTTGTCATTCAAATTAAATAAACAGTCATATTAGATCTATGTGGTTTTGTTGTAAAAAATGCTGAAACGAAAAGTGACTCTTGTTTTAGAAGCGGGCCATTGTTTTAGTGTTAATTCTTATATTCAATCGATTTACTAGTTCTTGAGAGCAACTTTTGAATGAATGGTTTTATTTATAATACAGCTTCAAATGTCCAATAAAAATACTTACCATAGGATTTGCAGAAATCGAACTGGGATCGAGTACTTCTAACTCAGGGAAATCACCTAACATATCAAAGGCATCCAAATTGACAAATACATTATCATCGACCACATGCGTGGGCGACGCCACAGCTTCGCAACTCTCTATAAAATCCATGGTATCTATTCCCGACACCATGACGTTAGCAGTCTCCGTAGACCTCACCACGCTCCTATCCAATTCACACGTTGGCATATTTGCAGACAGCGTCTTCTGTATATCCTCGTGAGACAGCTCTAGAGTTTCGTCGAAGAAGCCACTAGAAGTTTCTAAATGCGCATCCGTACCTAGCAGAACTAATGTGTCGTCGCAGTTATCTTGCACTTTATTCTCTAATCGTTCTAATAGATCAGGATAGCGAGACGGCGTCGCCGGCGCGCTAGCGATTATATGCCCGCGAGACCGGGGCTCCATTTTTATTTTCCTATCAAAACCCTCTACGTCTACCTTCTGTTCTATTTGAGTTTCCACTTCGTAGGTTTCCGTTTTATTGATGCACGAGCTCGGTTGGCTATCGGGGATTTCCCTCTTCAGTACGAAGGTGGGTTTGTACTGCTGTCTGTATCTGTCCCTTGGCTCTTCGCAGACGAAAGACGTGACTGATAGAGGTGATACAAGAGACGAGTGCTGTTGATTGTTACTCGTGCCGTTTAGGATTAGTAAGCCTCCCCCCCCTTGTATTTGGCCTAGCGATAGAAGCAAAGGTGACGATTGCGTGGACGTCCTGTGATCTCTTGAGTATTGACGTGGGGGTTGCGCCATGGGTCTGGGTGATGGTCCAGTAGTTGAGGAGACGTGGTGATCAGACGCTGGTGGTTTAGATGCTTGTATACGACGTAACGGATGGGCACATGTCCTTGAATCTTGGCAGGTTGAATCAGGGCATCCGCATTCTAATTGTCTAGCTAAGGCCGCTGCTCTGGCTGCTCTCTGCTTCTCCATCAGCTGCCCCACGATGGCCTCCACAGTCTCCGCCGTCTGAAACATTTTTCCCTAAATTTTAGTTCGTATGCGATGTTCTTTTTATATTAAGACAAGTCAAATTAGGAAGATACGTACTGATATTTCCAAATCGCTGTTGACATCGTGTTCGTCTTCGCTAAAGACTGAAATGAAAAAAAAAATTAAGTTACGATAACATTAAAAAGTATAAAGAGCAATTCATTTATTTTTAATTCATTATAACTACGATGTTTACAGATGGAGCTAGCGTAGCAGATTTTACGTTGACATTAAGGACGAAACGTCGAGTCTTAGTTAACATTTATTAAAAATAAGTAAGTAAATAAGGTTTTAAACACGAAGTAACTAATATACTTCGTGTTTAAAACTGTTTAATGTGTACTCGCGAAAGCTAAGCTTCACATTTACAGCCTCACACGTCATTTTACAGTCGAAATGTCATGTGTCACCCATTACTATTTAAAAGTATCTGATATATGTTAGATTTTATCGAGAAAATCTGGATTTTAAAAGGATAATAGTAACATTCAAATTTCGTCCGGATCACGAACCACACGTAACGACTATTTCCTCAATAGACAGTTATTCAAACTCAAACCATTTATTTCACAAGACAGAATAAACAACTGAAATATAAGCTTAAATAACTAACATTTATAAAAAAAGAGAAAGAAGAAAAACAAAAAATAGAAACTTGGCCGAGTGCTTGTGAAATGGGGAAACGCGCTCGGCATGTGCTTCACCAATCACCACCCAGAGTAGAGGAGAAGCGCCGCTTTTCAGTGCCCCCCCCCCCCCTCTTACCCCGCCTGGGAGAAGGTGACAACAACTACAAACTTTTAGTGAACTAAACTAAACTATAAAAGTAAATAAACTTAGAATAATGTATGATATATTCACGATCCGGACGTAATTTCGATGTTGCTACCACGCATGTAATATCTAGATTTTCAGACGATGCCAAAGATGTTTCCGACAGATTGTAAAAGGTTTAGAAGCACATTGGACCCGGTGGGGATAAAACCCACGATCTGCTTTGCACTGCTACCTCTAGACCTTTGACAGATTCGTCGGTCCAATAGTAGCGATAAATAAGTCAACGGAAATAATAGAGAAGGATGGACAACACATGGCACATCATAATTACTTCAATAAAACACTTTAACGGTTTAAAACGCGATAAATGTTAGATAAGCTTATTTGGTGATTATTTTACCTTCTCTTTAGTTCTTGCAAGTTTATCTATAGAGTCGCGAACTTTTTTAAAAATTATTTTAAGAGAATCATTCTTTCGTTTTGCAAAGTACCTTCGCCTCAGAAACCCATGATAGATAATTTTTCCAAAGTTTTCAATTTGCACCCGTAGTTTCTGAGATTAGCGCGTTCAAACAAACAAACTCTTCAGCTTCATATATTAGTATAGTTACGAGTTTTTAACCGTTAAAATGTTTTATAAATGTGTACTACTCGCGTAAACTACAGACAGTGTATCATAATTACATGCTGATGAGTAATAGCCAACATTAACACACCAATTTGGAGCCACGATAATAAACATAGTGGATGTTGAACATTGTTTAAATGATCACATTTATAAGGATCAGAATTAATTGGTGATAATTAATTTATCACTTGGCTCTTTATAAATATGCAATGAGAGCTTGTTGCGTTTTAATTTACAGTATTCAACATTTAAGTCGACGAGGAGACAACGATTCGCGTCTGCCAACGCCATTTATAATGGTGATAACTGGGAAAGTTTATTTTTTACGTGTCGCATAAATTTGGGGGGGATATTTTAAGGGCTTTATGGAGATTTTAATGGCTACTTCTTTATGACATCATTTGTGTGACTAATGTGGAAAGTGTCGTGGATTAGTTGGTTTTGTTAATGGCTAGCTGTGCCAGCGACTTTGTCCGCTAAGAATATTTATTTCGGGCATCCAAAGTCGTTTTTGCAAACTCCTTCTTCTTTAACTTAAGCTGTTACCCACGACGTCGGTCGCGTGCCTTCCCGTCGTTCTTGCAAGTTAATCTAAAAAGATAGACATATAGCGTCGCGGACTTTTTTTAAGATCATTTATAGAGGAATCATTTTTTGATACATCATTTTTGCGTATCTTGCACCGTTTTTGCTGTGTGCGCCTCGGTAACCCATAATAATGAATAATGTTCCCAAAATATTTCACATTTGATGCTGTATTTTCGCTTGAATTAGTTACATGGTGATGTTTTATAGTCTATAGCCTTCGTCGATAAAAGCTAACCAACACGAAAAAAATGTTTTAATTCGAAGCCGTAGCTCCTGAGATTAGCGCATTCAAACAAACTCTCCCAGCATTATATATTAGTAGTATAGATAAAGATGACCGAGCACGGGGATCAATTGAAGATAGGTAAAATACTCCAAACTGTTTCAGTCTGTGGATTCTCGAATATCCAAAGCCAAAAAAGGTCGACAGCACATCTTGTTTAGAGGCTATTGGCTGGGGTTATACAAAGTTGGGTATACAGATTAAAATTTCTTTAGCATATCATAGTTTTTCGGGCTGTTCGGCTGCCGTGAGCGAGAAGAGGTTCTCGGCGATTCGCCATCACGTGCGGACGGCGGGAACATCCGAGCGTCCGATGCAAAGCATCCGTAACGTCGGGTCGTAGTTTAAAAATAATTTTCAAACAAGTTTAACTAAATTATATCGCGATTAAAACCGTTAAAGTGTTTCATTTAACGGGCATCACTAGTTTTCTGTGGTTTGATATCGGCCATATTTGTTGTGGTCTGCCAAGTTAGAAAAAATAGACTATATAGGTTACTCACACATAGGTTTCAGCTGGCTAACCAGCTCGTCCTTCGTCCATTCCTTTTTATCAGCCCATAGCGCAAGACTTGGTGCCACTGTTGCCAACTTATTATCATCAGGATACGGAACGTTCAGATAGTGGACTAGGACTATGTCTGGGTTCTGTAATAAAAAAAGAAACATATTTATAACTCATATACTAATATGATTAATATACTAGTAATTATTTTTTATTGAGTATTGCCTGTAGTTTACTTGAGTAGTACCTATACATTTAAATAAAACCCTTTAACGATTTAAAACGAGATATATATTAGTTAAACTTATTTGAAAATTATTGTCTCCCCGAAACCATGGCCGCAAAGCATCCGAAACAACGGGCCTTAGGTAAACTAATTTGCAAATAAGTTTAACTTATAAATATCGCGTTTTAAACCGTTAAAGTGTTTTATTTATTAATATAATTGTAATTTTCATCGCGAGAAATGTAAAACGTACGCAGTAACTATCTATGTGTCTTCAAAATGGCGGCGTGATTTATGTAATGGCCGCCGTCCAGGGCTGCCACTTTGCACGTGCACTTAATCGGTGTTATTGTGGTTTTTCATTAACTGTTAATGGGACAATTTGTTGTAAACAGTTGGTGGATAGTGCCTCCTGGAAAACTGGACATTTGAGCCTTTAGTTACGTATATAATACTACCTGAACCCGCGCCTTTGTTATATTGGACATTATATGTTTTTGCAAACTTCCGTTACCTCGTTTTAAAATCGGTTAAAAGATAGACGGTAAATTCAAAAACGACACGGGCAGGAACTGAACCGTCGTGCACAGCGTTTCGTGCTGTTGCTCTAACCAATTGACATACAAATCTTTTGTTTCTTTAACCTCTTTCGTCACGCACCCTACAGAAAGATAACAAATGTTTCCCGTACTTTCCACATTTTCCACTATTCCTTCGCTCCTATTCGTTGCAGCGTGTTAGCCTTACTCGATAAGTCTCTAGCAGGAGGGTTATTTGTTTGACTTGTGACAGCCCTCGTTTTTTAACAGTTTTATTGCAGCTAAGTTAAAAGTTGTCCAATGGCTTTGGGGGGAAACTGTTTCTAGATTTACTTTTATAGACAACAAGATAAACAAGATGTTTATTGTTGTGAGGGATGAAATTTGAATGGCTTGAACATCCTAACTTATGTGTGCTTTGTTTCAAGGACTATTTTTCTTGTTGCTCTGAAATATTTGCATACATATAGTAAACGTAATGTCAATCATTGCAATTGAATAGTTTAGATTAATGAATAATTTTAATCTATTCTAAATTCTATTCTATTCTTTTGGAAAATCTAGTTATCAAATGGGTCGAACAGCAGTCCACAAAAGCCGTCAGTTGTTTTGTGTTTTGGCGTCTTTTGTAGAAACAATTTTAAATATTGTCTGTAGTCTACGCGAGTAGAACACATTTAAAGAAAACACTTATTAACGGTTTTAAACGTGAAATGTATTAAATAACTTTTTTACTATTTATTTTAAGTATGGCCCGATATTTTGGAACTTTTGCAACCGTCCGTGGCCACGGGGGGCGCAGTGAATTGAATTTGTATTGTATTACATATAAGATCCCTTTCCACATAATTAAATATCTATTAAACTATTATTGAACACTAAGTAGTTACCTAATGCATTATTAGTTTTAAACGCTGGTATATATTTAAATAAAACACTAACGGTTTAAAACGCGATATATTAGTTAAACTTATTTGAAAATGTTTATTTATTTTTAACTTCAGCCCGACGTTTCGGATGCAGCGGCCGTGTTCTTAGCTAAGTTTAACTAATATATCGCGTTTTAAACCGTTAAAGTGTTTCATTTAAATGTGTACTACTCGCGTAAACTATAAACAGTATTTATTTTAACCAGCTCAGGTACATAAATAACTAATAGTTAGTTATTCAAAATAGAATTAGTTACGAAAATACGCTAATTGGATATTTTACTATCAGCAGCGCGTATTTTATTCACAAACTATCGCTTGCAATTCAAATAAGCTAGTGATGTTCCGTATCGATAGTTTTAGCTGACACCTGTTGCCGGGTTGCGATGCGTCGCAATCAGAAATTCAATTACCCGACAGCATTTTAGCCTCAACGTGTACCTAATGTGGTATTCATGGCGTTTTTCAAATACCACTTTACAATGGTCAATGTGGATGTACAGTCGGGCAGAGAAGCTTTTTCAGTTTTTATCAAAACTGAAACATTTCTTTTTGATAGTTAATGGCAGATGAAATACCCGTATAACATTTAAAAATGCGCTGTCGACCCATTTTTGCTTACTATATTCCACAAACTGAAACCACAACGCGATTAAGCTTCTCCAACTTTCGACTGTAGTTTGTAAAGTACGAAATTTTGATATTCCTACCACACATTTAATTTTCAGATTTCCAGACGAAGTCGAGTTCCAGAAATAAATATCAATTTTAAACAGTTATTTTAGGCATCAAAATGTATTTTGCAACTTCCAGGTTTAGAAGTTATAGCTGTTAGCCACGACGTCGTCCGCGACCCGTCGTTCTTACGAGTTAATCCTAAAAGATAGAAAATACTATTATACTATACTCAAAATATTTTTTTCGCTCCTATTGGTCACAATGATTTTTTTATTCGACCCAGCACTTAATAAGATTAGCGTAAACAAACAAACTCTTTACCTTTACAATATTATTATAAATAAATCACCTAATATACGAATCGGACGCACGAAGTCGCGCTATTAAAATGACAAACTCTCTACAGGATACAATTTCTCAGACTCAGCATCGAAGCTTTTACCGAGATATGAAATCTTGAAATACGCGCCTTTGATACCTGGCACCCGATTCTGGTGAGACGTGAGATGCTGGCGAGAGAAAAACGACTGACTATCGAGATGCTAGTGCTAACCGTAAATGAAAATTTAAGGAAAAATAATTAAGTTACAGTAAAATAAAATTATTACTAAATATAAAAAATAATATTAGGAAAATAAAACTTTAACCGTTTAAAACGCGATATATTAGTTAAACTTATTTGAAAATGATTAACTTCGGCCCGACGTTTCGGATGCTTTGCAGCAGACGTGGTCACGGGGAGACTTAAAATGGAGTATGCCGCGAAACGTCGGGCCGAAGATAATCATTTTCAAATAAGTTTAACTAATATATTGCGTTTGAACCATTAAAGTCTTTTATTTAAATGTTTACTACTCGCGTAAACTGTAGACACTATTTAAAATAAGAATAGATTTTAAACAAAGGGGGGAGAAAAAATGCCAATAACTCAATATTATGTGCCACAAGAGGGAAGAATAGGATCTTACTCTGCTGAAATAAAGTCGTTTGTTGACCTGAAACTGATTTTAAGTAGGTCCTTACAATGTCTATGCAATTGATAATAATAAAAGAGCCTTCTAATTAATTTAGCATTCAAGAAAACTATTTACTAAATATAATTGTAAATAATAAAGAAAATAAAAAAAAATCAAATACGACAAAATCTTATGACTAAAGCAAAGCAAGACTAAGGCTCCAACTATGTTTCTTTTCGAAAATGTTTGATCCACTAAACGGATCAAAGGAGCCGTTACATTATTGTGACGCGGCTAGCGACATACGTTTATAAATAAATCACTTTTAACAGTTTACAAAGTTAAATTTGTTAGCTAACTTTTTTATAAGTCATTTTAACTATGACCACGACTGCTGGAAAGCATCCGAAACGTCGGGGCGTAGTTAGATATATTGTCAATAACCAAGTAATATTTTTCCCATTTTAAACCGTTATTAATGGTTTATTTTAATGTGGACTACTCGTGTAAACAACAGACAGTACTTGACATACGTTTGGTCACAATAAAACCCAGTTTAGATCAAACAGTGAGATCCAGCGATCGAGTGTAAACGCCAGAATCAGGGTCCCGCACGAAATTGATAGAACCGCGAATTGGACTTTCCAGTTCAATATTTCTGATATATTTTCACTTCAATCGCTGGAATATTAATGGAATTTCGCAAACTTCTCGCATTTATATGGAGCCGGATCCGTCGCGGCTTTCAGATATGTTAGGCAGATTAAACGGGGAGTAAACACGAACTTAGTTTCAACTGAAGTACGGACTTCAATAAGATCGAGATTTCAACGTGAAATCTTAAAGTGGAACATATGAAATATGCTTTTAAAGGTAACCTTTTAGTTTGCAATTCAAACTCGACTTGAACTCTGAACTTGATTTAACATAAAAATTAGGTAATCTAATTCTTAATTAAACCATTAAATTATGTTTGCTTGATTGTAAATAACAATATTATCGAATCATTTTTTTAAAAAAACGTGTATTTTATTTATTAAAGGCGAGACTTGTATATTACTAATAATATTATATACTAGCCGTGCCAGCGACTTCGTCCTCTAAGAATATTTGTTTTGGGGATCCAAATTCGGTTTTGCAAACCACCATCTTTATATAAACTTAAGCTGTTACTCACAACGTCGGTCGCGTCATATGGCATCGTGGACTTTTTTTAGATCATTTATAGAGGAATCTTTTTTTTCACACTTCCCGATGTAACTTTGCTTAGTCACAGCGCGATGTTTTAGCCTATAGCCTTCCTCGATAAATGTTCTAAGCAACACAAAAATAATTCTTCAATTTGAACTCGTAGTTCCTGAGATTAGCGCCTTCAAACAAACAAACTCTTCAGCTTTATATGTTAGTATAGATATAGATTATTAATAATGCGCGGAAATGAAAACTAAATAGTACAGTTCAGAACTTTCAAACCAACGACAAAGTTGTCGAACAAATAATAACGATAGGTTTTGTTCGCCTGTTGTGAAGACAATCGTTCCATTTTCAAATTACACGAACAATTTGATTTTACATAATCATTTATTTATTTAACCGCTTTCCGATCAACGAGTTCGATTTATCTCGAAGGTTATCATAATGCTAAAATTTCCAAGGAGGTTAGAGAAAAAAAATCAGCTATAAGTAACGGCACGGATCTTTAGCGCTGAACGAATCCTGCGCAGAAGTCAAAAATAAGGTGTCAAAGGGACGAAAGCAGTCATGTGCGCTTGCGTTGATTGCTTCCCCAGACCCCAGTCGTGTTGTCTCTTTCGGACCAATACGACGCTCCGCTTGCTTCTCGAGTACAGACACGTTTTCCAATCAATTAAGTGCGCGACTGTTCAGCGCTAAACATCCGTGCGGCGACCTATAATAGGTTCAATTTTTTACCTGCAAAAGCCAGTAACACCTCCGATGGAATGTTGGTAGTATGGCGGAGTGGACGTAACAACCGTAGATGCACTGAAATACAAAACATTCCATATTAGGAAAGTAGACAATAATGTATAAATGCTTATATATTAGGCTATTTCACATTTTTTTATTAATAAGTACTTAGTAAGAAGAATGTGAGAGTGCTGCCATCTATTATTCTGGAAACCGAAACTGAGTTATACACATTGATCGAAGAGGCTCCTAAAAATACTATATTAATTTTTATTTGATTACAAATGAAACAAACAGTCATATACAGATGAATATAAGACTTAAATAAATCTATACTAATATTATAAATACGAAAGTAACCCTGTCTGTCTGTCCCACTTTAACTCCGAAACTATCTAACTGATTTAAATGAAATTTGGTACACAGATATTTTAGAGCCTAAGAAGGGGCATAGGCTTTTTAATACCAAAACAGGGTTGACAGGGGTTGAAAAAGGGGATGAAAGTTTGTATGGAATTCGTGGTTTTTGGAGCTAGAACAATGAAACTTTCTTCTTTGGCTTTTTGGAAATAAGAGTGGGAGTGAGTGTAGGGATGAGAGTGGAAGTTAGAGTAGGAGTGACGTGAGGTGAGAGTGTTGCTGCAAAGTAGCACTTACAATATGAATTGGTTGCCTTAAATGCGCCCTTACATAAATTAATAAACAACCTAAATAATTAAAAATTCTTCCCTAAGTCACTATTCCACGCGGACGAAGTGCCGGGCACAGCTAGTATGTTATATTAAGAGGTTTTTTTTTGTGTGTTTGAAAGCGCTTATATCAAGAACTACTGGTTCCAATTGGAAAAAATATTTATGTGTTTCGATTAGATCATTTGTCGAGGAAGTCTTTAGATAACATTCTACGACTAATAAAACCGAAGAAATAGTAGGAAATGAGAAGGTTATTGATCTGCAAGGCTTTCAAAAATATATATGAAAGACTTATACCTATTTAAAAGATCAAAAAAAAATGGCCGCGATAGTGTGTGTCTATGTTTAAAAATTAACTAGCAAGAACGATGGAACGCAAAGTCGTGGGTGACAACTTTATTTGATAAAGCCGCGGGAGAGGTTCCCAATGTTTATGCCAAAATAATTATTCTACGCGGACGAAGTCGTGGGCACAGCTAGTTTTGACTTCTTAGTCCTCGTTATGGAAATATTAAATGTATCTTTGGGCATATGAAACCAATCATTTTTATTAACACGGGGTAAATAAAACCTAGGAAATCGTCTAGTTAAACCGCTCTATCACATTGAGATCTATTCAATCGTCAATAATGCGGCATAATAAACGCAATTTCCACGAGGCAATAATTTTCACTCGGAAAATATTTCTCCCCTTAAAAAATAAATCACGGAACGGTTGATAAAATAAAAACTACAAATCAAATTTTGTACGTGACTGTACTCGCTATTAAATCAATGCACAATATTTATCGCGTTCTTCAAATCGTGAAATGGACAAATAGCGTTGATTATTTTATTCCTTTCGACGGTAAATAATATTGTTAGGGAGTTGCAAAGCAATACATACAGTATTTTTTCTAACTTGGCATTTTTTAGTAGACTAACTCAAAATTAAATATTGTCTACAGTTTACGCGAGTAGTACACATTTAAATAATACACTTTAACGGTTTAAAACGCGGTATATTAGTTAAACTTATTTGAAAATTATTTTTAACTTAGTCACAGGGAGACCAAATGACCACGGCTGCTGCAAAGCATCCGAAACGTCGGGCCGAAGTTAAAAATCATTTTCAAATAAGTTTAAAAAATATACCGCGTTTTAAACCGTTAAAGTATTTTATTTAAATAACTCAAAATTTACATAAAATTGGGATTTTTACGTAAGGTTTACATTGATTTACTCAAAAACTAATACTGCATTATATATGGAACTAAATACTGTCTGTAGTTTACACGAGTAGTACAAATTTAAATAATAAAACACTTTAACGGTTTAAAACGCGATTATTAGTTAAACTCAGTTTAACTACGGGACGACGTTGCGTGTCTTCCCGTGACCACGGTTGATAAGAAGCATACGAAACGTCGGGACGTAGTTAAAATAATTTTTAAATGGGTTTTTACTAATATATGTCGCGCTTTTAACCGTTACAGTGTGTTACAGTAAATTAATGTACGTAACTGGACAGATTGACATTTCTTTAGTTAGACGTTTACATAAGGCTGGGCGCATGTAAGCGAAGTCAATTTCAGAAAAACGTTACCAACGTGGAGTTAAATAAAAATAACAAACAATTTAACATGAGGTCGTCCAGTTATTTTGAATTTTGCGATAGTTTGGTCCATGTAATCGATGTTTCTTTATCCCTGCGTTATCTGTGGTAACAGCTTCACTCTATAAAACTAGTTGTCTATAGTTTGCAATCGGCCATATTTGTTTTGGCCTTGTGTCAAGTTAGAAAAAATAGGCTAGGTTATTAAGTTAATTTAAAATAGCCTTAAGTTATAATATTATTATTTTTATATTTTCTCCCGGGGGACACCTGTGGTAGGACGGGTGATCAGTTCACACTATAGCTGACCATTTCACCCATTTCCCCATTTCCACCTTTGGAGGTTTTGGGTATCAACTCTCCCCGTGTCCCCTTCAAACCTTCCGGTTTGCTTGCAGAATCTTATAATTTTTTCCATCTGTAATTCTTTGATCTCATCTTCTGTAATTTCGTCCGAACCCATATGTGTTTGTCTCAGCCTCGAGTATGCAGAGCATTCAGTGAGTAGATGGATGCTTGTTTCCTCACTTTCTCTGCACTCCGGACATAGGGGTCGCTGCCTATTCCTATCATTGTAAGATGTCTGTTTAGACGGCAATGTCCTGTTATGATCTCTACGATGAGTCGGATGTTCGCTCTCGTTAATCTCATCAGGTTTTTGGTCTTCTTTTTGTCTAGGCTATGTATGAATATCTTCGACTGTCTCATTCCAGTCGAAGATTTCCATCTTTGGTTTGTTTCTTCTATGATTCTGCGCTCGATTATTCCCTTGGTTACTTTATGGGCTATCGGAAGTCTCGGTTAAGTTATAATAACAATGAAGTTAAACATATAAGTAGATAGATTATAAACGTTAAAAAGGAAGAACCTTCTCCCCTGAAAGCTTAAATAGACACAATTAAGTGTCTGTTTCAATAATCGAGCCCGAACGTTTGTTTCCGTTTATTTTTGTATTAGTAAGACTTATTATTAATATTATAAAAAAAAATGTTATTTATAATTAAATATTGGATTACACTTATACATCGTTAAAATTAATTTTTCATACCATTTATCTATCTAGTTAAATTTTATACTTTTATAGTATTCCTTTGAATTAACTTACATATTTCGTGTTTAGAACCGTGAAAACTGTTTTAATTTTTATTCTTAAGTAGTTATAAGATTTTGACGCGAGTAGGTACACAATATAAAAAAACAATTTTAACTGTTTAAAACTCCATATTTATTCATTAATTCATTATTTACTTTTTTTTAAAGTCCCCACGTGACCCTGCTGTAACAAAGAATCCGACCATCGGGTCGTAGTTGAGATTAAATATACGTTAATTGATTATATAATATTTAACCCATTAAGAGTGTTTTTTTTTAATATCTCAAATGAGGTTTATTTCGTTTTTTAAACTGCTAATATTTTATATATATTACTTAGTTAGCTCATGTGTGGGGTACGGGGCGAACACAATTTTGTGCCCGTTTTACTCACAATTACTAGCAAGTTGATCAGTCTTCTGTGCCCTGCCCGATTGAAAGAATGCATTGTTTAGATTTTCGAACCCAAGACCTCGAGTGCCTTATGCTACACCTTTAACCATTTTGCTACAGAGGCGATCAAATATTTGTGTATACTTTTAACTAGCTGTGTCAGCGACTTCGTCCGCGTAGTGTAGTTATTTTTGGTATCCAAATTTGTTTTTGCTAGCCTCCTCTTCATTTCTTTATTATTTTAAACTGTTACCCACGATGTCGGTCACGTCCCGTCGTTCTTGTCTAGTTAATCTTAATTTTTCCTAAATATTTTTGGGTATCCTGAACCGTTTTCGCAACGTACACATCGGACACCCACAAAGACTAATTCGCAATTTGTTTCACATTTCTCGCTGTATCTACGCTTGTATTAGTCACAGGGCGATGTTTTATAGCCTATATATTATAGCCTTCCTCGATAAATCCTCTAATCAACACAAAAATTATTTTTCAATTCGAACCAGTAGTTCCTGAGATTAGCACGTTTAAACAAACAAACTCTTCAGCTTGTTGGACTAATGGTGTCAATGTATGGAAATGTTCTAAGTTACGTTAATTGGAATTCTACTCAGAAATTCGATTTAGTATTTCACAAGATCTGCTTTAGTAGTACTTCGTGGAAGGAATGTTAAATTTGAGATCTAAAACAAGATCCCGCAAATTGGCACCTGAACTAACTTCGTTATCCACAGGCTCTATGAACACAGGCGTATGCGGGTTTATATATTGACTACTTCTGCCCGCGACTTTGTCCACGTGGAATTAGTTTTTTTTTGCAAATCTCATCTTTCATATAAAACAGTTTTACGTTTTAAAACGCGATATTATAAGTTATACATGACGTTTCGTAGTTAAAATAATTTTCAAATAAGTTTAACTACTAGACATCGCGTTTTAAACTGTTAAAAAGTTTTATTTAAATGTGCACTACTCGCGTAAACTGCAGACCGTGCATAATATTACCTTTTTGTTACTGAAACGTCAGGCCGTAATTAACATATTATTCAAATTAGTTAACTCATATATATCGCGTTTTAAACCGTTAAAAAGTTTTATTTAAATGTGTACTACTCGCGTAAACTATAGACAATATCTAAATACTGCATGTTGAACCATTTGGCTCTAGAAACATAAGAACAAAGAACGACAGTAGAAATGTTTCTCGTCTGCAATGAAACAATATAATATTCCGGGGATATTACAGATTTCCCGCGTAAACCGGCCGGGGCGGCCTAAATATAAAATTCGTATAACCACAGATT